TTACCTAAACTGCAAGAAACTGGCCGATTGCTCAAAACTAGACTAATAAACTATTCGAAACAATAATAATTTGTTTTGTTGTTTTTTCTCTTTTGCAGTGGTCCAAGGCACCATAGTGGGCGTGTCTTACGACGGTGATGTGTCGCGCGTGCGCGTGATGCCCACCAAAGCGCATCGTCTGCCGCCTGAAGAGGACGACCGTGTGGTGGTGCAAGTGTCACCGCCGCAGCAGCAGCAGGAGGACGAAAGCGGACGATTGCGGCGCGATGACCGGCCGATGACCATAACGTTCGGCCGGGGTTGCAGACCTGCCGCCGGGCCGGGAGAGTTCGTGTTCATGGCCCGTACCAAGTTCGACGAGTTGGCCCTGCGGTGTGCGCCCAGGCTGGAGGAATGGAGGCAAGCCGTCAAGGCAGACAAAGCTCCCGGTTGCATTCTGGCCGGTTGACCTTCTGAAGTACATCATATACATATATTATACGTTCATATTATATAAATATATAATGTATAAATATATATATATGTCTATATAGGATAAGATAGGTACTGTACGGTCGTGATAAATCATATACTTTAAGTATTATGCGTACAGTACCTAAGTAGGAACTGTTATATATTACATACTACACAGGGTTACCAAAACCGTTGTTGAATTACGTTGTTTACAAACTATTTTTATTTTTTCAAAAGTCATGTTATAATAATATTTTATTTTGTATAGAATACGTGTAAAAATAGCCATTTTAGCTTTATATATTATAGCCATATAAAGGCAATGTATACATTAAACTAGACGCTTAAACAAAGATCGCTATAATTGCAATATTGGCTACCTATGTATGTAAATGATAATCGTTCCGTAAACGAGCAATAATATAATCTTATAGTTATTAATGCTGTAAAAGTTCTTTCGAGTTTGCAGAAAAATACGTTCAACCGGATGGGCCCATCAGAGAGGGAGGAGTAGGAGTATAGGAAATGATGGACAAGGCTAGTATACATATTATATATTATTATATAGTTTCCTTATTGACGCGTAGAAGAAAGGTTCTGTGGCTGTGATCTGAAACTTTTTACGTAAATATTAAAAACAAATTCAAAAAAATTTAATAATATACAATACATATACTCTTAATTATTGTACATTAAATATCGGCGTCAAGTCTTATAATGTGTATGTGTATGATATAGAGTGTGTATTATAGAAATCTATGATAC